TCGGGCTGGTTCCGCGGGCTGGCGGCGGGCAGGGCTCCGCGTAGGGCTGCCGCGGAGCCGTCGGGAGCGCGGACGGGGGTTGCCGGCGCGGCTGTGTGGCAGCGGTCGGGGAGAGGGTTGGGAGGGGGCTCCGGGAAAGGCTGAGGAGCGGGCGGGCGCTGCTTATGTCGCCAGGGAGTTTTTCCCCTCGCTGTAGTTCCTAGACCTTAACATTTCTGCCCTTCGACAGCTTTTAAGCTTTCCTTTTACTTCTCGAATTGGGAAGGAGAATAGAGCAATACTTTTAATGCCGGACAATTACATGTTGCATAAAAGAAAATGTGGATTTTTAAATACGGGAGATGATAGGAAGAGGAAAAGACAGCATTCCAACAGAGAGACTCCGAAGATGTGTTTTGCTGTTGTAGCTATTACTACATAGTTCTTATATAACTTAAAACAGTTTTGTGGCTTGTCTTCTAACTAAATGGAGACTTTTATAAAAGCCCACAAGGCCAAGATCTTCTATCCTATTCCATGTACCAAACTATTTCTCGACTGAAGAGTTCCCAGGCTCTGGGGGCTTGGTGACACTCAAATAATTCATTGTTCAGTAACTGATTTCTAAGACTTGCGTAGCTTTCAGCCACATCATTTGTCTCCCATTGTAGTCGCAGGTTACAGTGGTTGGTTGTTGCTCCACGGGCATTTTAATTGGCATGCAAGCTTAATTTCAATTATGTCTGAAATACTCATTTCCTAAATTCACCAGAATAGTCTCTTTAATATTCATCTGCGCTTTCTTTTTACGCCGATTCTAAAAAGCATCCTACCAGGTTTGTTAAAAGCAGGTGTATTATTGCATTCTCTCCAGAGGTCTTAATGAAATAGCAGTCAAAGAAACAGTTGGGACTTCAACATGGCTTTCCATGTGGAGGGGCTGGTGGCCATAGTTGTATTCTACCTGGCTATCCTGGCAGTTGGGATATGGGCTGCTTGGAAAACCAAGAACACGGGCACCGAAGGAGATCGCAGTGAAGCTATTATAGTCGGTGGCAGAGACATTGGCTTGCTAGTTGGTGGATTTACAATGACTGGTATGTAAAAAACACCTTTTTCTTTTTTTCCTGACCAGCGTATAACTTGTCAGTTTTCCATCTGAATGAAGAAGTGGTAGCTGCATGTTGAATAATGCAAAATGGACAAAATGTAAATACTTTCTTTCCCATTGCTGCTAACATTTTTTTAGTGCACAACCAAATGTAGCATCTGTATAAAACCAACAAATATTTAAAAATCATACTGGAAGAATGTATTTCTTATTCCTTGCTTTCATATTCATCTGTAAGTCCGATATATTTAGCACAGGAGTATAGAATTTATTTAGTTTAATAAGAAATCCAGTTTTAAAATAATTACTATTGTTGTTAAAGCCATCCAAATTGCTGAGTTATTTTTGTTTTATCTGAGTGAAACAAAGTTTATCTGTAAAAAAATGGGGGGTGGAGGTGTGCAGCATCAATTAGGAATAAGTTTCTAAAAGAAAATTATCATAAATCCAAACTTGTGATTCCACTGATTTCAGCAAACTTACTTTGTGGATTCTTTTAGATTCTTTTGCAGCAGTTTGACAAAATAGTAATATCACTAGGAAAAGCCTGGGTGAAGGAAATGTTCCTCACAAATTTTGAAAGCAGTGCTGTCTGACTCCCAGAACCAGTCAAACCAGGTGTCTTACCTGGGTAAACAAGATATTCATGATGTGGTCCAAAATCTCAAGTCTTACAGACCACATATGGCATCGGAACAAAAGCGCATTATAAGAAGAGTGAATTGGTCCGCCATTTTTATTTAAGTAATTTAATTTTTAAGCATGCTTTGTCGGTTGGTGGGTTTGTTGGGTTTTTTTGGTATTCTAAATCCTATTCAGGCAAAGCTCTTTCAACTGCCAAATTGGATTTATCAGTTTATATTTATGTTTTGCTCTTTTGCCCTGTTCTGGTTTCACAATTATCTAATAAGGAAGAGGGACATAAAAAGTTGGGCCAAAATTCTATGATCTTTAACCAAGAGACATTCCTATCCCCTTGCAGGGGCTTTTTTGCTATTCAAAGACTGAATATTTGGATATTGAGTAGAGAATGTTTGTAAAAGTCAAGAAAGTTTGAATACAGGCAGATGTTCTAGTTTTAGCACTTTGCTATAATTTTCTGTATCAGGTATCCATTGGCTACTGAAATATCAAATATGATGAGATTCTGCTCATAGCAAGAGCTGGTTTGACAGCTTTTTGCTGAATGTTTTCAAGAGCACTGAAACCAGCGTATTTTTGCAGAGATATTCCTTGCCGCAAAACTGTAATCATTAGATTGGAGGAGCGGAGACGAAACAAGACATTCCCCGCACAAGTGGTTGTGATGAACAGCTTTGCTTGTGGAAGAACACAAATTCTGGTCTCCTTAATCCTATTTTACAGGAATATTTTTCATAGCAGCTGAAGCAGAGATGAGACTTGGACTGAGGCTTCCTGTATTGCAGGCAATTTCTATAGCCAGCACAATTCACACCCACACACACTCATTCCGTTTCGTGCAACTTCGAGAGAGGGAATAGTATGTCATCTCTGTGATAGAATATCGGGCTGATCCTAAAGCCTTTGCACAGCCTAATATTAGGGTTCACAGACTTTCTCACCTCTGCCTTCCATAAATCTGGCAGTTAAAGCTTGAGGTGGCAAGTAAATTACACTTTCAGTTTTAGGGAACCGCACTGGGCAAACAATGCTAGGTGTGGGCACAAGTCTATTGAATCAGAGTTTATTCTGAATTTTGTTTTGGTGAGAGTGATTGGGATACTTAGTTTGTAAAGCCATAAAATAATTGCAAAGGTAAGCTGATTAAAATCTGCACTAACTTTTAATAAATGATCCCATTGTTCAAGGGTGTATTTGCTGCTTTAATAATGGTAGATGCAGATTTTGCAGCTCGTAACCATACCTCTAGAGATATATGGCTATTCCAACATCATCCTAATACTTTACAGCTTTAATTGTCTAAATATAAATCAGAAAGCAAAGCTTATGCCGCAAAAGAAAAACAAGAAATTTTTAAAGATCTCCGGAAAGGATATTGTTTGTATAGACATGAAGTACTTCAGGTTATGAGATAAGGCCTAATTCTGTCTTTCTTTCTTGAGACAAATAGTACCACATTTCATGGATATCGGCTACGAAAATGCTAACGGTTTCTGGGGCTACTTGGTGGGGAGGATGACAGAATTCAGGCTATAAATTTAAAATCAAATTCACAGAATAAGCATCATGACTTCATAGGGACGGACTCGAGATTCCTGAGTAATTATAGTTCATTTTCTAAATGGCATTTAAAAACGTTAAAACAAGTGCACTCGCTATGAATAATGGCTGTAGACTTATTTAGGTGTATACTATGATCTTGAAGAAACAGCTGTATCAACTAGCTACTGAAACGCCTAAACACAAAGCCTGTTGAAGGCAGAGTGTGTCTGCAATTATCAAAACAGAAAGAGTGAGAATCTTGAATTGTGGATAGATCACAACAGCTCATATTAAAATGAACCAACATAGTACCACAGTAGACACGCCTTTAATTTGTGTATTATTTTTGTATAATTAAATTGTTGCATTAAATATTGGCGTTCCTTAATTTGAGGGTGAAATTCTTAGGAAGTGGTATCTGCAACAAACTTAAGTCTATTCTCATTTCAGCATCTGAGTTTAAACCCCAAAGGAAGCAGTTGATATGACATAATCAAATGCTTACAAACACGACCAAAAAGGTAGCAATCTAATGATGTCATTTGTTCATTTTAGTTGGAGCTACGTATCCTTCCACAAGTAAAAAAAAAAAAGAAATACTGCAAAATTATATTTTTTTGTAATCCTTAGGTCAGGATTTTCATTTTCCAGAACTTAATGGGTTGATTCAATAGTTTGAGTGGTCAGATAAGGAATCATTCACAAAAAAAACCCCCCAAAATCTGATTTTCTATTATATATCCATATAGATAAAGAACTCTTTGTTCCTCATATGAACTAGGGGCAGAAATGCACTTTGTATCCTCTGTATTTGTTGAATCATTTTTTCGGGTGCATGTTTTAAATGGATGTTGGTATTTGCTGCATTTTTTGGTCCTTCAGACAGCAGGCAAAGAGAGGATTAAAATAGATTACCACATGAGTGTTTCTATAGATTATTAAATTTTATATTCCTTTTGTCTGATTTAGAAAAAAAAGAATTTCACCAAAAAAGGTATTAAACTAACTTTAAATTGTGGCTTAGCAAACTGAGGATCAGAAAATTAATATCTAAGGTTGAAATCTCTTCCTATCATACCCCATTATTTCTTTTCAAAATGTATTTACAGATGTCAATGTACGTGCTGACTACCCATTCACCCCCTCACAAAAGCCATATAACACACCTCCTTCTGGGGTCCCTGGCAGAGGTTCCAGAACGGTCATGAGCACAGAGAAACTGATCAGCAGATATTTTCAAACCCCTGTCCAGAAATCAAGAAAAAAACCATGCAAATAAGTGCTAAATCCTCCATGACACCTTACCCAGCAACACCTGTAGGCAATGGCGCCTGCAATGTCACACAGAACGGAATTCACCTGGCCCCCTCCAGAAGAAAATAAGGGACCTAGGCCTAACTCCCAAGTGCCCCTTGGAGAATACCTACCACCTCAGTAGCAACCCCAGGCATCTCGATACCAGATGTTGATACCTCTTTGCACCGTAGCTGTGGCAATGCTGGACATCTGTCGTTGACAAGTTTTTGTCTGATTTAGAAAAAAAAGAATTTCACCAAAAAAGGTATTAAACTAACTTTAAATTGTGGCTTAGCAAACTGAGGATCAGAAAATTAATATCTAAGGTTGAAATCTCTTCCTATCATACCCCATTATTTCTTTTCAAAATGTATTTACAGATGTCAATGTACGTGCTGACTACCCATTCACCCCCTCACAAAAGCCATATAACACCTCCTGCTGGGGTCCCTGGCAGAGGTTCCAGAACAGTCATGAGCACAGAGAAACTGATCAGCAGCTATTTTCAAACCCCTATCCAGAAATCAAGAAATAAAAATGAAAATAAGTGCTAAATCCCCCATGACACCTTACCCAGCAACACCTGTAGGCAATGGCACCTGCAATGTCACACAGAACGGAATTCACTTTGCCCCCTCCAGAAGAAAATAAGGGACCTAGGCCTAACTCCCAAGTGCCCCTTGGAGAATACCTACCACCTCAGTAGCAACCCCAGGCATCTCGATACCAGATGTTGATACCTCTTTGCACCGTAGCTGCGGCAATGCTGGACATCTGTCGTTGACTATGGGATATTATTCCTCATCTGCAAGCGGGTATTCTTCATGCAGAATTCATGCTCATGCTTTTTCTAGGGAAGGAGACAAATACAATTCCCTTTCTAAACATTTACTTTTGATATTGCATACGGGTGCTTACAGTCTATTCCATAAGATTATGATGCTTGAGACACAATAAGAAACACACATGCCAGATAGTCATAGACTCAACAGTCAATGGCTCAATGTCTGGATGGACATGAGTGACAAGTGATGTCCCTCAGGGATCAGTATTGGGACCACAATTATTTAACATCTTTGTTGGGGACATAGTGGGATTGAGTGCACCCTCAGCAGGTTTGCAGATGACACCAAGCTGTGTGGTGCCATCAACATGGTGGAGGGAAGGGATGCCATCCAAAGGGACCTGGACAGGCTTGAGAGATGGGCCTATGACAGCCTCGTGAATTTCAACAAGGCCAACTTGGGTTGGAGCAATCCCAAACATGGATACAGGCTGGATGATGAGTGGATTGAGAGGAGCCCTCAGACAAGACAAGAAAGGCTTAGTGGTACTGGTTGATGAGAAGCTCAACATGAGCCAGCAATGTGTACTCATAGCCCAGAAAGCCAAACGTATCCTGGGCTGCATAAAAAGAAGTGTGGCGGCCAGCAGGCTGAGGGACATGATTCTGCCCCTCTACTCTGCTCTTATGAGACCCCACCTGAAGTACTGTGTCCAGCTCTGGGGCCCCCATCAAGTCTTGAGAAAGACTTGGACCTGTTGGAGTGGGTCCAGAGGAGGGCCTCAAAGATGATCAGGGGGCTGGAGCACCTCTCCTATGAGGACAGGCTGAGAGAGCTGGGGTTGTTCAGTCTGGAGAAGAGAAGGCTCCAGGGAGAATTTAGAGCAGCCTTCCATTGCCTAAAGGGGGCCTGCAGGAGATATGCAGAGGGATCTTTATCAGGGAGTGTAGCGACAGAATGACAAGTAATGGTTTTAAACTGAAAGAGGGTAGATTTAGATTAGATATTACGAAGAAATTCTTTACCCTGAGAATGGTGAGACACTGGAAGAGGTTGCCCAGGGAAGTTGTGGATGCCCCATCCCTGGAAGTGTTCAAGGCTTGGTTGGATGGGGCCTTGAGCAACCTGACCTAGTGGAAGGTGTCCCTACCCATGGCAGGGGGGCTGGAACTAGATGGTCTCTAAAGGCCCTTCCAACCCAAATCATTCCACAATTCTATGATTCTAGACTCTGGCAACCAAAGTATCATATTGCCACCTACCTTAATTCACACTTTCAAGACACACAAAATTCCAAATATTTGACAACTTTTTATGTAGGTCTGCATCCCCGCTGTTCCTATGAAGTATCACTGTTCCTCTGTCTTTTCCATGTGGTCCTACATGGGCATCACTCACTTCTTGTCTTGCCTCTGTAGTGCACAATAGATCTTGATAACCAAAACTATCGATAACAGGGTTCCTTGGGTCACTTCTTTTGTTTCAGACTTTCTCTGCACACACATCCCTCATACAAGCCCATTATACTATTTGCACCAACAGAAGGTTCCATTCCTGTGCTTCAAAATGCTGAAAGGGAGACAGTTGTAATCCTCTGGTTGCCAGAGATCTTTGTTTCTAAAGCCATGATGTAATTTAGCATTGAATTAAAAAAAATCCCCTCTGGTAGTATTTGAGACATATCACAGCTAAGTGGAAAAGAGTGGTCATTTAGATTTTAATGGAATTTGTTTAGGAATTTTAATTACATTTTCTTCATTTCTGTTTATCTCCAATTGTTTGTCTTAAAAACAAAATCAAGTTTTCTTGTATGATGGTGGACAATAGGAAAATTCTGAAGATGATTAAGGAAGATTCTTACAATTGTGTATTATTACACAGAAAGGCTGAACTACTCTAAGGCAAAGGCTTTTGAGGCAAATCAAAACAGCATTACAAAAACCTAGTACTTATAATGATCTGCCAGCCCTTGTTCAAACTAGAGACACAGATTCATAAAATTTACTCATTACATGTACATTAGAGGAAATCAAGAACATTTTGCGTGGAATCTGCAAACAGGAAGAGATACACTTTATTACGTAATTTGTTATGAATTATTTTTGCAGATGTAATCAAAATACATTTCTGTGTTGGAGATTTTCTTTCATACATACTGTAGGTCTAAAATTCTCAAATGTAGAAACTTCCCTTCAAGGTAGGGAATAAATTCATTCTGGGTCTGAAGCTGGTATATTAAAAATACTGCTGGCTTTTAGAAAAATAAATCAGAAATATTATAGATCACACAGTTCACTTCTAGAATATGTCTTCAGGAAGCACAAAAACAAATGAGTCAAAGTTTAAAACTTAAATGGCAACAGAAAACCATCACAGCCCCATATGGAAATACAGGATTTAGGGAAATCAGAATTTACTAAATGGGCTTCGTGTAGCCAAAATTTAAAATTTAGCAAAGTTTTAAAGGCAATTTTAAACTCTTGTCTAATGTAAATGTTTTGATTTTTCCCAGCTGGGGTGACTTTATCACTGTATGTTTGTTGTTCTTCAGTTTCCCCCTTACATCTCTCCTTCATTTGGACTAACACAAAGAAAATGGTAAAGTGCTTCAAGTAGTGGGGAACTCAGCCCTCACATCTTCACTGACTACACAGAAACTTAGACATCTTGATTATTGTCGCAGTCCGTTGAACTTTTTTTTTTTTGAATGCTTAGGTTGTAAGTTTTTTGAATTAAGACTATCTTTTATAGAAGGTTGCCATGTCTGGCACTTGTACAATACATATAATAAAAAATAGCAATATTATAAGTAATGACAATTTTATTCTATAATGTGGGAGGCCGGCTTTCTTTGTGCACATTCAAGATTTTTCCATCTCTTCTTTTTCAGCCACGTGGGTTGGAGGAGGTTACATCAATGGGACAGCAGAAGCTGTGTATGTCCCAGGCTACGGTCTAGCTTGGGCTCAGGCACCTATCGGATATTCCCTTAGTCTGGTTTTAGGTAAGCAAAGAACTAAAGCTAATAGTCTCTCATTTTAAACAGTTCTGATGACAAGTCCATCATTTGAAATGAAGTAACTAGAATCTGATAAAAGAATACTGAGGTAAAGTGGATCCCTTCTGCTGATACATTTGGCTTTTACAATGAAAACCAGAAAAGCGCTATAAATAGTTTGCTATCTTAAGTCTCTTGAACGCCTTGGCAAGACCTATTTGATTATTACAAGCATAATGGTCTACGGAGATCACAATAATAAAGGTTTTGTCGGGGGATTTTTTTGTAATTATATATGCTATTTTTTATACTTTCAGTTTTTGCTTAAGTGCCTATGTGATCTGGAACTATGTGATAGTATCAGGGCACCTATAAATCTTGGAATTCAAAACCAGTAAATATCCCTTCAAGTTAGAGAAGTGTTTATGCCTTACAGATCTTCACCAAGTAGCTTGTCTAATTTTGTGTATGAAGTCTGTAGTAGAACCAGTCTATTTCCTTAAAATTGGACCCCGCATCCTCTTAAATGCGGTAAAAAATTCCAAATCACATGTCAAAATGCAAATACACAATCCTACTATATGCAGTGTAAAATACAGACAGCATTGTAATTTTTAATGCTGTGGCCTCTAATTCCAGAAACGTAGTCTCAGAACTCCCTTACTTTTCTTAAAAATAATAGCAATAAAAAAATTCTCACTGTGTCTCAAGAATGTGGAGCAGCTCACAACAAAAGTATTGCCTTCTGAGCCATGATGAATACACCACAATGTTGTCAGCTACATCCTTTCAGTTTGTGAACAGATCATATCACTAAGGCAGCAGCTGATGCAACAGTTTAAAGGAATGTTGTTACAAAAAAGATCCTATGTTCTTCATCATTAATTAATGTGACTGGTGTATTCTTCTTTCTAATAATACTTGACCCCTCAGTTTATTTTGAGTCTTTTCTCATGGTCCTCCCACCTACTCTGTGCCTTTCCTTCCTTTGATTGCTTTATCCAGGTCTTCTTGTCCCTTTTATTTATTCCTATATAACTGGGTTTCCCTCCTGACTCATTTTTCCCCTTAGAAATTCTTTCTTATGGCCTGTCATGGTTCTCCTCTCTTCCCAGGCAGAAACCTTCCCTATCGTAGATACTCCTCTCTGGTATATGCGGGCCAGCTCCAGTTCCAGTAGTAGTTCCCATCCCTGAAAGCACCTGTAAGGAAAATAAGAACAGTAGATGTTTGCCTGCAGATCAGTTGATGTCATTATGAGGTCATGAGGGTCATCATCCATTGATGTCATTAAGTGGTCATTAGGATGCTAGCCACAAGCATCTTCCAGACTCTTAGCCTCTGTAGAATTGACACAAAGTAATAATAGCCAAGAAGGGCTTGAGTTAGCCTTCATTTCCAGCTGTTTTTAAAGATCCAGGCTTTTTTGTTTTTCCTGGAAATTATCATGGCCGCTACAGAGCAAAGAAGTCTGTATCATGTGGCCATAAATCTCTCTGCAGAGCACAGAGAGGAAAGCATTTCTGTGGTATGATTGGTACGTGCAGATTTGCTAGGAGGAGTTGTTCATCTTTTCTTTTCTTTTTTTTTTAATAAGCCAAATTATAGATATAAGGCTAGAAGAAATATTGCTGCTTCAGACTGGAAGGATTTAAGATTGATATAATCTCTCTGTTAGTGCAATGTTGTGCTGCATACCACTCTTCCTAATTTTTCAAGCAATTTATATTTAATGGTTAGAATAGCTGTGATTTCATTTGGCAGATGCTTGAACGTCCTAATAGATACCAGTGACTCTTTTTCTTCTTTTAATTGTCTTTTGTAATGATGACATAACAAGTAGAATAGGAACAGAATCCATGACTAATCCAAGAATAGTTAAAAAATGCTGGAGTTTCTGCATCCAAACAACCTGCCTAAAGACAGTGTTACCGTAAGCAGTATAAATAAATTGTGATTGGTAAGCCGGTACCTTCTGTTCAGGGAACTTAATGAAATGAAGAAATATGAGTGGTATACGGCAATACATAGAAATGTGGAAAATATTCTGTACAGTGCAACGAATACGTTACTTATCTTGTGATGCAAAACCTAACTAAGGGTTGCAAAATACCCCACAGTGGATTTTATTGGGAACTGACTGGTTTTCCAGGTTTTTCAATTGTACCTTATGTATTGCATTTCAGCAGTTTTACTGTGATAGAAGTCTACTTATTCGTAGTCATGTGCAGGACTCAAATTTACAGGTTTCCATACAAGGGCTCTTTCAGCTTTCCTGAGGTACGCCCTTTTTTTTTTTCCCCAGCCGTAAAGAATTTGAGGACTCTACATTAGATAGGTGTGGCCTTTGCACGTTTATGTGTATATCCAGCCCATAGGCCAGGCATGCAGAGCAGAATTGCAATACATCAAAATTCCTGAACATGTATAAGTAAAATAAGTGTTTGACAAATGTTCAGGGAGCCTGACACCTGCAGAGCCCAGAAGGCATCTGACCTACCCTGCAAGTTTATAAGGATACATGAGAAATTTAAATTATCCTGAAAGAATCAGATCTGCTGTGTGTGCACTAAGCCATGTGTGAACTTGTATTTCTGACCCAGGAATCCCAGACAGTTTTATTTTTTGAGTAGGACCCTGTGAAAATTCATGCTGGATTCTGGTCTGAGAATAAACAGGATTAGGTAGAAAAGCCATTTCCTTAGGCTGATCCAAAATTAGACAAAACTCTGACAGCATCCATAATGTCAGATGAAGTAAACTGAATCAGACAAAATAAGAGAAACTTATTTTTCATTGTCAGGCCGTAGACATTAATGGTGCAGATGTGTTTATGTAATTGTAGACAGATGTAAGGTAAGAGTTCTTAGAATATTTTAACTGTACTTAGTTGTTTTTTTTAAAAAAACAACACCAACAAAAATAACAAACAGTAATACTGACATCTTTGTACCCTTAACCCTTAACTGATAATCCATGTTTCACCCCTTAATGACAATGCATTTCTCCACTGCAGCTAGTGTCTTACACTACTGTTCTTTGCAGGTGGTCTTTTTTTCGCAAAACCCATGCGCTCCAAAGGCTATGTGACAATGCTAGACCCTTTTCAGCAGCTTTATGGAAAAAGGATGGGAGGGCTACTCTTTATTCCAGCTTTAATGGGAGAAATGTTTTGGGCTGCTGCCATCTTCTCTGCCTTAGGTAAGGAATAAGCAGTATAAATATTAATTTATCACAGGTGGAAAGGATAAATCAGAAATGCATTGAAATTCTGGCTTCAAATGCTAACTGTCTTAGCCAAATGATCTGGAATGGGACAGTTCTCAGACCTGTGCTAAGTAGTAATTAAACCCAGTAATGGTGCCCTCTTGATTATTTTGGTAATGGAAAAATACACAAGGTATCTATTAATTTTCAGGTACCTTTAAGTTGCCCCTCTTCAAAGAATATTAAAAGATTTAGCACCAAATTTCCTTTAATTGTGAGGGTGACATGAGTGATTGCAAGTGTGCCTTTATGTCAAGGCTTCTCTTTTACACCACTGAGATGACAGAAGCCAATCAAAATTTCATTTAAATATATGAGACATTATTGCCAATGCATCTAAACAAAATAATCCTTTGAATATAGGAGACCACCATATACAGAACTTTCCATAGCACAACTAATAGAAATAAAACAGATCCTGATCAATAAATTGAAGTATTATTGAATTCTAAATGGCTTTCTACTCAACAAAATGAAGAAAATACTTAGGATTCAAGAAAGGATTCAGAGAATTAGTGGAACTATGACTCAATAGAAAATCACCCAACTAGTCATCCAGTTCTGAAAAAAAAATCAGTTTCCAGGGTTTTTAATTATATTTCAGGCCTGAATTTAGCAATCCCTTCAAGAACTGAGAAAGCCCTTGAGTTGAAGCACCAGTAGTTGACTTTTACCAGCTAATCATACTCATAGTGCACATGCATGTGGTAATGCTTTCTAGCACAAGCTATTTTAAACGGAAAATAAACTTTGAAGGTACTCTCCAACTGTGCTCTGATGAACTGCAAAGCAATGGGGAGCTTGTTTACCACAATTTCATCACAAAACCCTTAAAGGACTAAGAACAAACTACATGCTGAGGTGATAGGAGTTGAATAACTTGAAGAACACTCTAACTATTTGGAATATACTTTCATTTTGATTGAGGACAAGCTAATCTGTGCTATTTCAAAGCAAATGGTATAAATACCTTTCTAGTGGGTTTGTATTAACAACTGACAGTTAAAGATTGTCCATGGTTATAAAGGTCATTGAGGGGTTTGATTTTAGCTATTATTTTAACTATTCTGTGAACAGATTTAGTTATGTTATTCCTCCTGATTTGCACACCTATCCTTACTTACAAATATTAAATCCTAGTTCTCTTCAATTCTTGATCTTCCTCAAGACTCCTTTCTTGGGAGGGTTATAGAAGAGAAAGACAGGGCTTCCAGCTTGCGAAAGTGGTCTGAGTTTGTAATCCTTAAGCACATAAATTCTGAAGGCTCCCTGTACAATAAAAAAATACCTGGCAGCTCCCAGCAGCTCTTTTATACAACATGTCATCTTGTGTTCTAATGCCAGAACTTTTCCACCTATATGGTCAAGAATATCCATCTACAACACCTGCAAGTACTGAAAGTTATTGGAACACATTTGATTTAAATTATCCTAATTAGAAGGAGAGGATATTATTTTTTTAAAAAACATGGTTTTAAAAGACTGCAATCACTTGAAATAGCTGATACATCTAAGGGAAATGTATAACCACTGCAATAGCTGCTGGAAGGGCAGTGCAAGAGGGCACAAGCAATTCAGGTTCCTTGACTGCACTGAGGACAACTTCCTGACACGAATGATCACGGAGCTGATGAAGGGAGGTGCTCTGTTACACCTGTTACTTACAATCAAGGAAGAACAAGTTAGGGATGTGAAGCTCGGAAGCAGCCTTGGCTGCAGTGTTCGTGAGGTGGTGGTGTTCACAGTCCTGAGAGGAGGAAAGAAGGCACAAATCAGGACTGTAACAATGGACTTCAGGAGAGTAGAGTTAGGCCTCTCCATATCAGCCCTGGAGAGAAGTCCAGGAGAGCTGGTTGACATTCAAAGGTCACCTCCTCCAAGCTCAAAATAGCCCATCCTGACAACCATAAAAACAAGCAAATGAGGCAGGAGGTCTGCATGGATGAAAAGGAGCTCCTGCCTAGACTCAGACATAAAAAGAAGCATTCAACAGGCAGAAGCAGGGACAAGTGACTTGGAAGGAATGTGGAGATGCTGTCCAAGCATGCAGAGATGGAGTTAGAAAAGCCAAAGTCCACATGGATTTGAATCTGGCCATGAAGGGAAGCAGGAAAGGCTTCTACAAGTACATAAATTAGGAAAAATGTAGACTCCTCTTGAATGGGACAAGGAACCTGGTGGCAAAGGATATGGAAAAGGCTGAGGCACTCCATGTCTTCTCTGCTTCATTCTTTGCTGGTAAGATGAGCAAGGGCTTTTTACACTATCTCCCACAATATCCTTGTAGTCAAACAGATGATCTATAGACTAGATAAGTGGACAGTGAGAGGACTGAAAACTGGCTGAACTGCTGGGCTAAGAAATATGCGAGCATCAGCATGGAAGCCACTGCACGACCAGTCACCAGTGGAGTACCTCAGGTGTCAATACTGAGTCCTGTATTGTGTAATGTATTCATTAAGGACCTGGCTAATGGGACCAAGTGCATGTTCAGGTAGTTTGCAGAAAGTAAAAGTTGTGAGGAGTTGCTGACAGATCAGATGGTTGTACTGCCATTCAGAAGGACTTTACCAGGCTGCAGAAATGAGCCAACAGGAACCTCATGAAGTTCAAGAAAGGGAGATGCTAAGTCTTGCACCTGAGGAGGAACAACCTGATGGCCCAGTAAAGGCTAGGGGCTGACCAGCTGGAAAGCTGGTTTTCAGAGAAGGACTTGAGAGTCCTAGAGGTCAATGAAGTTGAACATGATCAAGCAATGTGCCCTTGTGGCAAAGAAGGCCAGTGGCATCCTTGGCTGCATTAGAAAGACCATTACCAGCGAGTTGAGGGAGGAGATCCTTCCCCTCTATTCAGCACCACTGAGACACATTTGGAGTGCTGGGTCCAGTGGTGGGCTCACCAATACAAGAAACATGGAAATACTGGAGAGAGTCCTGTGAAGAACCACGGCAATGATTAACGGACTGGGGTGTCTGGCATATAAGGAGAGGCTGAGACAGCTAAGACTGTTCAGCCTGGAGAGGAGAAGACATTTATCCATGTGCATAAATATCTGATTTAGCAGTGGGGGGAGTGGAATAAAGAAGACAGAGTCAGACTCCTCTCAGTGCTGCCCAGTGACAGGAGAAGAGGCAATGGGTGCAAATTTAACTACTGGAAATTCCATTTAAACTTAAGAAAAAGCTTTTTTTTTTACAGTGGAAGAGGTCAAACACTGGCAGAGATTGCCCAGAGAAGTTGTAGAGTCTCCATCCTTGCAGATATTCAAGACCTGACTGAATTTGATCCTGAGGAACCTGCTCCAGTTGACACTGCTTGAGTGGGAACTTGGACTTGAGAATCTCTAGAGGTGCCTTTCATCCTTAGCAACTCTTTTATTCAGTGAGTTGGTTTGTGGAGACTGGCAGCTCAACGTTGTTTCATCTCTACAAATGAAATCCAATTGGTGGTGCTTGAAGAAGTTCTTGATGTCTAGGTCATCGATGGAGGATGGATCCTCCGGTTTTCAAAGAAACCCAGCCGTTTCCAATGTAAACAATTCAAGGGCACTTTCTAAAGTAGTCAATGGACAATCGTTCCTATAGCTGATGCCTTCTCTACCATTCCTTCCTTGGTCAAAAGGGGCTAGCTCAGAGCATAATTGAGATATAAAAGGGTGTGATATGCTGCAGAAGACCTTCCCTAGCCACTGGAATGATATACTTGTTCCTGTGCAGCTGAAAGTCACCTAGGGATTGTTCAGCTGTTGGTGTGTGGCTGCTTTTCCCCAGGCAGAACAAGAGTGTGGTCCTTCCAGACCTTGAGCAGTGTAAGGAAAGGCAGGTTCGGGTAAGAACCTGAAACATGACAGGTGCTGATCTTAGACCAAAAGGAGACTTCTTTTTCCCACTCCCTTCACAGATGCAGAAGAGGTGTGCAGAAAATAGGGGAATATCTTCATGCTGTTGCTAAGTGTCAAACTGCATAGCAAAGCAGCACCTGTATATGCAACTTAACAAAGGTGAGCCTTCTCATCAAACATACTGTGACATATACTCTATACTAACATACAGTGTTTTGGTTTTCCCCATAGGTGCCACTATAAGTGTGATCATTGACATTAATGTCAATATTTCAGTCATTGTTTCTGCCCTGATTGCAACTATGTACACGCTTGTGGGTGGGCTGTATTCTGTGGCCTACACCGATGTAGTTCAGCTCTTCTGCATCTTCCTGGGACTGGTAAGTTTATCTTTTTTTCCTTTCTTTGTTGAGGATTTTGCCCTGAGTGTTATGATGATTGCTACGACCTATTGCCCACCTTTGGTTTTGGAATTATGTCTTCACTGAAAGTGTGGGGAAGGAATACTTCCACTCACAGAGCCCTGACTTTAAGGAGTTGGCGTTTGCATCAACATACAGCCAGTGCTTCAACAATAATGCTGAGTGAGAGGCCCAATTCTTTGGCATTTTTCCAACCAGACCGATAGTGCAAACACTCTCATAATATTCCTGCTGAGTCTATATCTAACTCAGGATCGGACTTCCCTATCTGTCCGTAGGACTGTGGCACAGGCAGCAGAAGGAGGCGTCGTACACCAGTCCAGAAACGCTGGCATTGGACTTGCTGATCTGATACTCTCCTGCTTCTCTTTCCTGTAGCTGTCATCTACTCAGGCAGCTTAGTTAACCTCCTGCTTTAAATCACCTTCTTGAGTTTTCTCTCATTTCCCTCCATTGTCCTTGGAGACCATAGTATAGGAAGTCTCACCAGCTGACCTTGCTATTTGAATACGCTGCTATGAATATCCCCTCGTCAACTATCAGTGATATGCTAGTGGGTAGCCTTTTCTTTTATTTACTGCTGTTCTTTAAGACCTACTCTGAAAAAGATCAGTGCAATAGGGCTCAGATCACAGGGGTGCAATCAAAGAAGCTGCTGTCTTTGTTTGCCAGTGGCAGTAATAGATGGTCACAGGTGTGCAAAGATCTAAGACAGGCTGAAATAAATGGGTTGGCTCAAGGTGAAGGAGCTGAATGGCACCTTGGGAACCCGAAGTTCTTTCTCTGCTTTCACTGGAGTTCTGGTGCAACTCTAGGGAAATTGCTTCAGCCAGAAGTCACACAGGAGATTACTCACCAGCCCTGTGTGTGTCCTCATCCTGTGGAATCCTACTGTGAGGCCTATGGCCTTATTTGCAGAAGTGCTAAGCATTTCCTGTTGTAACTGACTTTATGGGTATAGTGCTAAATACCCTGACAAAGCAAATCCAAGTTTTAGCTGGCCACCTCAAATAAGAAATTATTCTAGATCTTCTTCTCTTATACCTTTGTCCTTCATCTGCACAGTAGTGGTCCTTCTCTAACATGCACGTTAATATTTGTGAACCATTCAGTTTCTACAGATGGTGTGCATTACAGAAATTCCCAAAATTGTAGATAAATGAAAATACAAAACTGCTTTTCCAATGAAAACAACTCACACACTACTAAAGGCTCTGATCCCGTGGGAATAAAAACATGTGATCCTGTATTAAAGGCAGCATGAACGTCAGAGGGAGGGGAAGGCAAATGAAGGTTGCATAGCAGTCTTCTAAATGGTTGGATCTGTAGCTTTACTAGCATTCTTTTAATTCAGGTTGGGCTCTTTATGTAATTTCCCATTTTAAATATATAGAGGGAGCATCACCAGTGGGGCTCAAAGCCTCAGATAGCATCTAAATGGCTATGCCTAGGTAAGGCAGTTTTAGATGAGACGGGACACTTTCACAGTAGGTGTCACTGCAGAAGATGTCACAGGTATCCCCGCTTCCCCTCCAGGAACTGCAGCAGTTTGTATTCCCACTGGCACAGAGCTTTGCTCATTCCTATAATGCCTGTTCCCCTCCTGTTCTTTACCCAAGAGGAGATCTTCTAATCACTTCTGTTTCCTACCCTGGCTCTTCATTTCAGCCACAGCTTCTTCCTTAGACTTCCATAATGTCTACTTCAGCCACTCCATGTACTTCCCTGGTTTTCTCCTTACAATCCCATGTAGTCTCTCTCCTTCCCTCCTCACTCTCCGGTACCCACATCTGCAATTCTCAGCTCTTTATCTTGCCTGGTCAGTCTTTCCCTGATCCTGCACTTCATCCCCATGTTGTCATTTAACCCCACCACGCAGCCGCTCTCACATCCCTCTTCCCCCCACAAGGGAGAAGAGCGAGAAAAGGAGGATAAAGGAGAAAACTCATGGGTTGAGCTGAAAATCATTTTATAGAACAATATCAGAAAAGGAAAAATAACACTAATAATAACAATAATAACAATGACAGCAGACATTCTCACCATCCGGTGAATTGGTACCATTCCAAGCAGTGATTGCAGATTCCCCTGACCTAGCTAACCTCCATTTATATACTGAGCACATCATCTATGGTATGGAATATTTCCCTGGCCATTCCATTGTTCTGTCTATTTTTCTACAGGAATCTTAAAAATGGTCATTGAAGAATGTAAACATCATTTAACAACAATTAAAACCAATAGGTATTATTGACATTCCTTTCACAGCAATGACTAGAAAGAGAATTTAAGTCTTTCCCAGCTGAAACCAGGACACCCTACTATTTATTGACTCTTCATCTCAGCTGTAGTATTAATTCCCCATTCTAAACTCTTTGCCACCATGTAGAAGTCCTTTTTTTCTCGTTTCCAATCCCATGAGCTCTAGGTCCATCTATCTACTTGCTACTTCTCCCCCTGAGCTTCAATTCCCAATATAAAGTTCCAGTTTCTACGTTACTTCCACAAGCTTTTGTTTTATTTGTCCTTCATTCAAAACAGTCAGTTTTCTACTCCAAATAGAAAGGGCTTGATGAAGAAATTGGATCCCTGTCTCTATTAAGCGAGTTAAACAGTGCCAAGGTGAAAACATAGGATCATCTGTAGTGCCTAATAGTTGGCACAGTCCTGGCACTGTTTTGGCACACGTCAACTAGTACTTTCCCAGAAAATTCCCAGGAACAGTTGAGGGATGTCCTTTTCATCAGGGAAAGGAGTCTAGACATATGGATGCAAACCACGATGTGTCAGTAAACTGCAGGGTCAGAGAAAGTGTCTTGACTTGTTTTATTTACTAGTATAGAGGTAGTTCTTGAGACTAGAAAGAGCTAGGTTACTGTCAGAAACTGGAATAGATTACAAAAGCTCATAATGCATTTGTAACACAGTCCCTATTAAATTCTGGGCTGTGGCATGCAGGGTGCAAACAGACCTTTAGAAATGTAGCCTACTGAAAAACCCAGCTGAGTATGTGCAAACTACAGCTATCCAGAAGCTTGTCACTTGGACTTGTTTGAGATTTGAGATGAAAATCCATTTGATATCCTTGTTTCCTATTAATTTCTCCACAATAAGTGTATTAATATCCATTAATTTTGACAATATGTTTATTTTTGCCTCAAAATATCTTGGAGGCAGTTGAAACATTTTAGTCATCTTTCCCAGAAAAGCCCAAATGGACAGTAAGAAGGGAATCTTTCTGCCTAGGTGCTTAAACTGTCAAAGTTTAATATGTAACTGAGAACAGAATACTATGGTACGTAATAAACAGCCTGAAAAATAGGCAGTGCAGCAAAACATAGCAATAATTCATATATTCTTCACACTCTATTGCAATAATTGTGCAATAAAGTAGAGGAAGATGTTTCGTTTCTCCCCTCCTTGCTCCGGTTGCCCCATACACTTAAATATGACCAATTGGATTGTGGTAATCTGCATGTTTTGGATATCATTGGAGCCTTAAGGATGCAGTGCTTGCAGTGGTCTGTTCCATATAGCACAAAGCCTGGTTTTCATCTCCGTAGCAGCTACTGAGGTTCTTCTCATAGAGAAGGTGTGGTGAGTTACAGCATTGCAAAATGAGCTGGCAAGTAAATGTGCAAAAAGTCAGTTGGTGAAGGAAATGAACCTTCTGGCCGAAACTGTCTCTGGGAAGGGTTTCTCAAAAGAATTTTCGGTCTAGATCAAAGACACAGAGACTGAAAATAGTCAAAAGCCCAGAGTGAAGTTACCCTCAAGGTAGAAAAGTGCTGTAACACTGGACTACTGGGTGTTCTGGAGCAAGAGACATGGGGTTCACCAACAGCCCCCCATCTCTTTTCATGATGGTGTTGAATTAAAAACAAATTCCCAAACCTTCAGGTGTGTTTGTGGTGTCTGATGCCTGTATACTGGCAAATCCTGATGCTATTGCACGCAAGCTTATATGTAGATGTTTCTCTACAGTGTGGTCCTGGAAAGGGTGTAAAGAATATGTGTAGAGTTTAGGGAAGATAAAATAAAGATATATAAATGCGTCTTTCCTGCTGATTTTGTAATATACACTGATTAATTCTCTGCTCACACTCACCATTTCCAGAACAGAGGTGAGCTATCCATTACCAAGCTCTCTGGATTTTGGAGATGTTCCACCAGCACATAACCTGACTTTTCTGCAAGTCAGCTTGGCAACTTGGCTTTTAATCTGTAGCAAGCAAGAAGAAGAACAGATCGGTGTTAACATTAAAATTTCATCGATTGAGAGTGCTTTCTTTAGACCTGAACAAAGTGTTACTCTTTGGTTACAGTGGATCAGCGTACCCTTTGCAATGTCCCATCCTGCAGTGACAGACATTGGGCTCACAGCTGTGCAGCAGGTGTACCAAACACCTTGGCTTGGATCTGTCAACCCCAGTGACATCTACACATGGCTGGACAATTTCCTTTTACTGGTAAGTGATGGCTTGAATAAAGGAGTGAAGCATTTGAGCACTCACGCTGTGTTACTGTGACAGCTGAAAATAATAGAGAGTCTAGTTAAGAGTTTCCAGCAAACTGAAAACTTTTACCCTCTTGACTTCTGCTCAATATTTCTTCACATTTGAAGGATTTCAGTGAAATATCAGTAGAGTATTGTAGCACAGCTGTCAAAGTCAGCATTGCCAGGCATGCAATTTAAATATCATCAGGCTGAAAGGATTGACTTATGCTAAAATTAATTAAAAGTGTGCAGTTTAACTGATGTCATTGTTGGCAGAGGAATTTATGTATTGCAGAAGGCAATAAATATGTTATACAAATGATTAAATATGCCTTAGGTATAGGTGATGTAGAAAAAGCTTTGCAGAGGTGGATGGATGAATGAATTCATACGTGTACCCATGCCAGAATGAACTGAAGGCTTTCATTATTTAATACCGATGTATTACACATGGGATTGGTGGTTATTAAGTACTTTCCATTAGAAGATCTAGCAACACATGCTAACATTTTCCATTCTCGGTGTCCCTGAGCGACTCTACACTATTTTTACTATCATATTGTACTTTGGGTTTCCTTTCTCTGTTGTTTGTTTGGTTTTTTTTAAATAATCTCAACTAAAAATCTTCAGAGTTTTCTGATAATTGGGCTATTAAAATATATTGGTTTATCCAGCTTAAATTTTTTAGAGATTTTCATAGCGCCAAAGTATGACACGAGCTCAAGCAGCTGTATTCTGTCTGGTGAGCCTGAAGGTTTCATCTCTGCTGATGACCAAAGGAAAGCTCTGATGTTGCCAAATTGTGACACATTTTTTTTTAATCTCATTTGTTTCATCATAGCTCAAGAAATTTACACATGCTTGGAAAGCTTTGTTAAAGGAACAGTGCTACGGCTTCAAAGGAAAACGGTCATAAATAGCAAGTCAAAGCTGAGTTGCTTGTGAAGCATTCATTTGGTCCCTGTGTGTGCATGAAATGTGTATGAAACACCTGTATACACACTATTTGGTCAAATGCCTCCTGCCTCATTTAGTGTGTAGAACTGAACTGCAAACGTTTAATGAGAAATTTGGCTTATTTTCATTCCATGCTGTTTAGTCATAGGCACTTACTTAGTGGAGACTATTCAAATCCTGGTCTCAGGACAGAACTGTTAGCACTTGACTTTTAGTCTTTGGTAATACTCTTTTGTGTCATATTTTGCAGACAAAATTTTAAATCTATTCAGGATCTTCACTGTTATACCCAAAGCCAGAGAAGGGTTGCCACCATAAAAGAAAACGTTCTTTTTCTGCTTTCTCTTTAATGTCTGTTGGTATCGTGTTTGCTTAAGACAGTGGGAGAATAATTTTTCAGATTCTAGAGTTCAGTGTATACAGAATGTTGCCTTTTTTAGATCGCCACACACATTCATAAAGGAAGATAAAATCTTGCTTTCAAATCCTATCAGAGTCTAATCTAGTTTTGGCAGGGGGAGGGTAGTGGAGGCCAAATTCTAAAAATATGAAATATGACAATAGTATTTTATAACCTTTCATAAGGCTTTATCAAGTATTTATACAACTCACAATACTTGGGGATTACAGAGACTATGTAAATGCAAAGTATTATTACAAAGGAATAACTTGTATAAAAGAATGGGATTTAAGTGGATTTACGAAGGTTTGACATTACTTGTGAGAATGGAAGTTACAGCTATTACTGACTGACTGATATTCAATAAATAAATGAAAGAGCACCAACATGGCATTCAGCATTCAGGTGATGCTTCTACATGCTCTCTGTATGATGATAGCAAAAAATTCCAGAGTTAGCCCCCAGTGACAGGATGCTGCTCATTGTGTTTGCAGACATTAGGAGGAATCCCATGGCAAGCATATTTCCAGCGAGTTCTTTCTTCATCTTCTGCCACATATGCTCAAGTTCTGTCATTTCTGGCTGCTTTTGGCTGTCTTGTGATGGCTCTTCCTGCAGTACTTATTGGTGCAATTGGAGCATCTACAGGTAAATGATTAAAAATGAATAGTACAATAAACGTAAAATGAGTAGTACGATAAATATGTGAGAACCCTACAAAGCTTATGTTAGATTTAATCTAGCTAGGTGACATCGTTAATCAACTCATGACTTCTTCAACAGGAGAGTATGCTGAAAAATAATATTATAGAATATTTCTCCAAGGGGAAATTGCTCCTACCTCAGTGGCTGAGATTAACTCATTTTGCATATTCTAGGTACCTTCAGATGTAATATTTCTACTTAATGTTTGAGCTTGATTCTGGTACTTTAATTTGGTCCTAACGATAATAGTAAGGAGTGGCTGAGGGAACTGGTGGTGTTTAGCCTGGAAAAAAGCGGGCTGAGGGGAGACCTTAACACTCTCTCCAACTACCTGAAAGGAGGTTGTAGCCGGGTGGGGGTTGGTCTCTTCTCCCAAGTAGCAAGTGATAGGATGAGAGGAAATGGCCTCAAGTTGCACCAAGGGAAGTTTAGATTGGATATTAGGAAAAATTTCTTCACCGAAATTGTTGTCAAGCATTGGAACAGGCTGCACAGGGAAGTGGTTGAGTCACCGTCCCTGGAGGTATTTAAAAGTCATGTAGATGTGGTGCTTAGTGACATGGTTTAGTGGAGGTTTTGGCAGTGTTAGCTTTACAGTTGGACTCAATGATCTTAAGGGTCTTTTCCAACCTAAATGATTCTATGATTTATCAGGAATTTCTTATCTTGACCAAAACATCCTTGTCAAGGTCTTTGTCATAATGAGAGTGACTCCCATCACAGTGACCATGTAGCTAAACTGTTAGAAATGTTCTATTGGAAATGTTTAACACGTGGCTTTGAGCTCTGAGTCTGTAATCAAAGAGGATAGTTATACACATCACAAACAAACATGGATTACAGACTTGTTTTATTGAGGAAAATGACATTTATGAGCAATGCGAAGTTTTAATATTAAAATTCCTACTGGATAAGCACAGTATCCAGTGGTCAGACTTAAGTTAAACGTAAGGAAAAATGCTGAGCAGACTAAATCTGCCTAACAGAAACCAGTGGAACACTGCCTCTCTGAAATGCCATCAGTCTGGCCCTATTAACTTTTTGGTCATTAATTGTGAGTGAAAATGTGGCAATCTGCCATAGCTGATGACTACTAATGTTACTACTAATAACATAACCATGTCCATATTGCAGCCTGGAATGAGACTGAGTACGGTGTCCCTGACCCCATAACTAAAAAAGAAGCAGATATGATTCTCCCTATTGTGCTGCAGTACCTTTGCCCAGTCTATATCTCGTTCTTCGGCCTCGGTGCTGTATCTGCTGCGGTGATGTCATCGGCTGACTCTTCAATTTTATCAGCAAGTTCGATGTTTGCTCGGAACATTTATCAGCTTTCCTTTCGGCAAAATGTGAGATTCCATTTTTGTTTTTACTTTTAGAGAAGATTTTAGCTGAGAACTTAATTAGGTGATGCATAGACTGCAATTTCATAATGAAACACCTCTTTCACGTTCCTGCGTATGACTAGAAAAAGTATAGCATTTCAGCCCTAACAGTATATTGAATAAACTGAAAGTCAAAAAAGTGTTTATGGTTGTGACAGACAACAGAGGTGAAAAAGCTAGCTCAGGGGAAGGAGGAAGCTTTCAAGAGTTCTCATGGTTCTGCAGTTTATCTAAACAATCTTAATAATTGCTGCAGCCATAAGCTTTACTTAAGTCATTAACAAAATGAGACATCTTTCTGAATTATTGATTTCTCAGGAAATCATTTGATATCAGAATGGGTTAATGAGTTGGAGTTTTTCTTAGGAAATGGAGAAGAAGAAATTCTGATGCTGACAGTTTTTTCTGGTTGAGCCATATTGTGATTATATTTAAACATAATTTCTAACACTGCTGTCGGGTTCTGCTTTTTTTTTTATGAGACTTTATCAGACTTTTATTAATCTTTGGGAATGGCAACCTTAACCTTTGGGTTTTTTTCTTTGCACATGAGATGGAGATAGAGACAGAGATATACTTCTGTAAATATTATTGAATATGTCATGCAAAGTTTCCTTTTACAGTGTATCTACTATGTGCATAAATGTAAGCATACATAGATTGCTATGAAAAAACACCTATCGCTGCCCTTTTTTTTGCAGGCTACAGACAGGGAAATCGTGTGGGTCATGAGAATCACTGTTTTTCTGTTTGGAGCATCAGCAACAGCAATGGCACTGCTGGCTTCATCAGTGTACGGCCTGTGGTACCTCAGCTCTGACCTTGTTTATATCATCATATTCCCCCAGCTCCTGTGTGTGTTATTTATTAAAGGAACCAATACCTACGGTGCCATTGCCGGATACTTATTTGGCCTTGTTCTCAGAATAACTGGAGGAGAACCGTACCTTTACCTTCAGCCCTTGATCTACTATCCTGGCTGCTATCTGGGTGAAAATAATATCTATATCCAGCGATTCCCATTTAAAACACTTGCTATGCTTACCTCCTTCTTCACCAACATTATAGTCTCCTACTTAGCCAAATACTTATTTGAGAGTGGGACTTTACCACCAAAGCTGGACTTCCTTGATGCTGTTGTTGCCAGGTACAGTAGAGAACACATGGACAAAGCAACTCTTGTAAAAAGTGACAATATTGTGTTAAACGAACTCGCGCCTGTGAATCCACGACACAGTCTAACTTTGAGCTCAACTTTCACAAACAAGGAAGCCTTCAATTATGTTGATTCGAGTCCAGAGCTGTCCAACACTGAAGATAATTAAAAAATCTGGTAGCCACAGGCAAAGCAATGAGAAGCAGGATATTCTACAAAGAATGGTAAGAGGCATTTTATCAGAAGAAAAGCAAGAACTGGGAATAAAATGCAGCTGCACAATTCTTTAACCTGCTCCTAGGAGCAGGAGTATCCCATGGGAGGAACTCTTTTCTGTTATTATCCAACATGTTGGATTAGATCATAGAGTGTTTACCAAAAGATACACTCAGATCCCATGCTATCCACCCAGAATATATACTGTGTAATTAAAAAAAATATTTACAATTGAAAATATGTGTAGCAGAAAAAGTGCAAACGTTATTTACCTAGGACATCATACGAAGATATTATAATACAGTCACTCTGAAATACTATCAGTCAACATTTTATTGGCATCAAGTGAAAATACATTGTCACAGCTATAAGTTATTTATTACTAAAGAGCTAGTTGCTTGAGCAAAGACAGATAGATAACTTCCCTGGGTTTTCGGTCTGATTGTCTTTTTCCTCATAAAGAAATTCAAATAATACGAATCTAGTATTTTATTATTTGTATAAGACAGCAAAACACGCAAATAGTAATAAATTCCTTATAGGAGTGCTAAACATCATATATTAATTAAGAAAGTTAAAATGAAGTCACCAGTTTAAAATGATGTTATACCTAATGCAAGACAACCTAAACAAAATATGTTACTATAGGTGTTTTTTTATCCTGTGGTTAGTGGCTGTCACCAATGGAGGATAACAAAATTTTTAAAGCAATAATTGGAGTTGAAACTCAGCTTGTGAAAAATGATAGAAGTCTTATAAACTAAATAGAAGTTTGCAGTGTTAAGAAAAGAAGCCTTCTCTTGACTTGTCATCAAAATGAACACTGAGCAAAGCAATCTGACACCAAGCAACTACAGCAATGGAACAAATATTAAAATGTAAGAAGAGTCAAGAAGGCTTGAAAAAACAGCTGAGAGGGTTTTCCATGGGGAAAATTTCCATTTTTCATGTAATAAAAAAGTTTTACCTCTGAGGTATCAAAAAGTCTTTTGGGTTGGACTTGCTGGTATTACTCTGGAAAGTGTAGATTTTCCATGGAAAATCACATTTTCTCAAAAATTTGATTTCCCATGGGAAAAACTGGATTGCTGGACAGCTTTTCATGTCTGTGAGTTTCTACCTCCAAAAACAGCAGCAGCAGCTTGGAGGGGAACTGAAAGGAGAACTGAGCCCACAAGCGTAGTGTAAGGGACAGGGGTGTCTTCCACTATACGCTGGACTCCTTCAGTAACAACTGTCATCCTGGGACATCATGGTGACTCTGCGGAGCACAAGCAGTGACCAGGCACAAACGAGACTTCGCTCATGAATGGCAATGCTGGCCAGAAGCAGCAAAGCAGGGAGATGAGGCCTCTTCTGACTTCACCCTGGCCAGCAGGTAGCACGCAATGTCGCTTCCATTTGCTCACGGCCGAGATGATTGTGTCTGTCCCCATTGGTACGTGCCTTTCACAGTGGGAGATCTAATAGATAGATTTCTGTACGAGTAAGAGTTATGCTCCAGTAATTCTTTATTAATATCTGTGCATGACACAAAATGTTCAAGTGAAATCTAGGTAAGCTCCTGTTGCTGGTCACTGGTGAAATGTCTTCTTTAGTGTTCACAGTACAAGGAGCTATCCTGGAGGATAGGAGATAGGTTTTGCTGCTAAAGGAAGAAGCCATCAACTTGTGCATTCGATGTTGACATAAACTTTCACAAGGTTGAATCCTTAGATATGTTTTTGCTCCTTTTGTGGAGTTTTAACAGCATATATATATTTTATATGTAGAGAAAATTAATTTTAGAGATGTTGATTTTTTTCTTCATACACTGCATTTAAAAATAACACTGCATCTCAGTTCTGAATATGTATTGTGAACTGTGGTACTACTGTGTTAACAAACATTGAGTGTGCTCTGGGGGAAGGGAATCAAAATCACGATCTACACTAAAAACCAGGAAGAGCCAGTATAACAAAGAAATGAAAAATTTCTGAGGAATGAGTGAAGGATCCTGAGGATCCTCAGGGTCCTGAGGATCTCACAAACCAGATGTGAGCATAGCAGTTTTCATTCCCCCATGAACCATGGAAAACAGAAGAGGAAAGAGATCATGTGGAAGTAAGGGAGAGGAGAACAGAGCCACTGCTGAATTCTTATCCATTTCTGGCCCAAATCCACTAGCCTGAATACCTTCTTATGAGAAAATATCAAGCCACAGTTTTGCCCGCTTACATAGCCAACCCTTTAAGCTGCAGTTCCAAATTAAGTTAGGGCATCCCATTCTACAGCCACCTGTAGTTCTTCCTGAAAATTTTCTCTTACTTCAGTTTTGTCTAGGAATTGTTAGAATTCCTATGAGAAGCTGCATAGTGGCCAGATGTTTTGAATATAGCAACATTTCTGTATTATTTATTTCAAAAATCCCAAGGGAAGGAGAAGGGGGTTCAGCTGGAATCTTTTAAGAAATTTTGATTGAAAAATAAAAATCTTTCCTTTCCCATGTATTCCCTTGTTGCCATAAAAACATAAAGGCTTTTAAAATGCTCAAAGTGAAAAATTAAGATGCATCAGTCCAGAAATTTCAAGCCAGATGCTTTCAACATTATCAGAATATTTTATACTGTTTATGCTGTTGAATATTTTTGTGAAATCACTGTGATTCCACAAAGTATTCCTGTTCAGGTGGAACTGTGTGTTTTCTGGTGGAAAATGGTTCCGACAAAGTTTTCCAGTCCTCTCTGTGGAGACTGAAAGGTTATTGCACTTTTACAAGTAGCACACCATGGAAGCTTTATCATGCAAAGGAGAGAAGTGGCACTGAAGACTGTGCGTCATGGGACCATAACTCTGCTTTCTACATACCAGGTCTCTGTGCGTGCCTTTGCATGAGTACAACATGGGCTGCCGTGGTTGCAGTGGAGGGACAACTCCAAAAGCCAAACTGAATAGCCCTGTGCAAAGTCTGTTTACCAGTTTTATTGTAAAATTGGTTTTATTTATAATTCTGCTATCCTACCATTAAATTTATACAGAGTTGTTCATATAACCAAAGGCCATACCTGTGATTCATGGAAAAAAAGAAAAAGAAAAGAGAACAAAATACAACAAAGTTACTTTCATGAGCAAAATGCCAATGGGACGTGATTCTTCAAGTAAACTTTATCTTCATGGGAATCATCAGATGCTCCTTCTCCACTTTTGCAATATGTAGACAGTAGTACTATGCACTAAATTGGATCTGTAATCAGTGAAGCAAACAGCTCATTTTCAGACACTGAGGTTATTGTTTCTGCGCCTACAATTTCTAGATAAAATATTCATATCACAATCATACATTTTACTTTCATATTCTTAACATTTGTGAATAACACTTATTTGACAGGGTTTTTTACCTCCTTTGCATGAGATGTGTTCATAAAATCAAGGTTAGTAACATAGCTGAGATGTCAAAAAAAAGTTACAGTTTCATCTATATTTGTCCATATGGGATGGTATATGTATTATAAATAAAACATACTTTTGTGAACCTGAACTGAATGTAAACATTAAGTGGATCAAATAAACTAAAGTAAAAGATTTAGTCTTTTATTTTCGTATAGTACAAGAATTTAGGATTTCAAATATAAATATCATAGGAAAAAAAAGTGTTACTCATTTTTCCTTCTGCCCTTCAAGCGTATTTGATCAAGTACCATGTGCAGTTATACAGTAAGTTATTGTAAGTCTGCTATTAATCAGGGCAATATTTGTGGCTATTGTTAAAAAGAAAAAGTATATTTTTGTCTGTGTCAGAAATGTTATATTAAGACTATACCTAACAAAGCAGATAGGAAGCATTATATAAATGTATATGTTTTAACTTCATTTGTATTGTATTCAATAGTGCCCATGCAATTCAGGAAAATATTGTCTGGTTTGGGGTCTGTTTTGTCCATCTATTAAAAATAAAGACTTTTATTTTATTATCACTCAGCATCACCTGAACTTTTATGTCATGGGCACAACTCTGCAGAGATGAGGCAGCCCCAGCAGAGCGGGAGATTAGCCCAGGGGATCAGCAGCCACTGTGGCTACAGCCCTGCCCCAAAACCTGGCTCCTGTATTAGAGACAGAGCTCTCTTTCAGTCATTTCCTCCTTGTCCTCACGGCCACAAAGAGCAGAGGTTCCTGAGTTCCGGGGGAATCTAAATCCAGTGGGACTCCTTCCTGCACACCCCTTGCCAGGGACCTTTCTCTTGGGAGTGTTGTACAGGGGCTGTAGTTTGGGCTGCAGGGTTGGCAAGGAGCACAAAATGTGCTATGAGAGCAGGAATGCACGTCCTTGGAGATTGCAGCTGGGTTCCATCTTTCACGTGAGCAGATTGAAGCAAGGGTTTGATAGTTTTTCCTGTTGTAGTCAGCCATAAAGTCATCCTGGACATTGCATGTGCATGCAATACAATTATTTAAAAATCAAAATTGTAACTGAACGAAAACTAAATCTGTCCTTTTATCCTCCTAGTAAGAGCTTGATCTAATGTCCATTGAAGTCAAAGGAAAGACACAACTGGGTGGCTACCCAAATGCTACTAAAATGACACATGCCAAATACACGGTGTACTTATCCCCCAGATGCTTTGCAAAAATATCTGGGCAATATTGTCCAGTCGTGGATGGTGAAAATAAGGCACACTGGCTTGTTTTCCAGGGGAGTAGGTGCTCACTCATGGAATGAACCACAGGCTGGGATTTTCAAACAGTGTCAAATAGTGCAGACATTGCCTTGAGGCTGTAACACTCTGGTTTCTCTTACGATTTGAAAGTTTGATTCACACCAGCACCTTTGAAAAACTGAAGCATGTTTTAAGACAAGAGCCTTAATATCTTGTCACTGGTGTCTCGGAAATTACCCTTCTCATTCAAAAAGGCAAGAAAAAGCATAAAGTAAGGGTGTGCTGATAATTGCTTTAGAAGCATTAATGAGCTATTTTGACACATGACATCATAGGTAAAATGCCTGTCTGGCCAAAACCACAGCAAAACCCTACTTGAGAGAATCTATGTAGAAATCACTTGAAACTTTTTTTTTTAAAAACAATAATAGCTTATTTTTTGTAAAGAATAATTTAGGGATTTTTTTGCATGTTTTTAGGTCAAATTCACAAAAGGGACAGTGAGCACAAAAACTAACAGTGGAGAAGAAAATGGGTAGAGAAAGAAGTTAAGGTTTTTGATGTAAACATTTTTAATCAATATTAAATATTGAACCAATCACTTTCCACCACAGGCACACAATGACTGATGGCAGGTGAATACCAAGCAATGACATGAAATGTATGAAGTCTCCTTCTCTTTACATTTTAGTTGCCAAGCGCAGTTTAAAATTCATGAAAAGGACTGAAAACACCACAAATACTGAGTAGTTTTCCACTTGAAAAGAGTGAACTTGGGTAGATCCAAGTGCCATGAAATCTTCCCAGCTGGGACAGTATCAGACCCATTCCCAGAAAGGCTGGAGAACTTCCTGCCGGGATTGGGACACACTTCAAAGAGGTTCAAAGAAGGCAAATGTTAATATGTGAAAAAATGCATATAGGTGTTCCCAGGCCGAAAAGGTGTTCTTCAGCCCTCTTTTGGCTCAAGCCAAGTGTCAGTCTCCCAATTAGATGCCCAGGCACAGCTTGGGAGCTGGACTGCTCCAAGGGTTGCAGAGGGCCTTCCCCAACAGGAGCTTGGCGAGCAGCCCCCCCCTTTGCAAGGCTGGCAGAGATTGCAAGTGTAGCCTCCCACCAGATGGTGCCCAGAAGCATGCCTCAGCACCTTCAATTTAGTGATGAAGATAAAGCCTCAGAGTTCTCCACTCCTGACCTGGCCTTTTGGGCTTCCTTTGGGGTCAAAGAAGAGAAAATGACACTTACCAAATATGACTAATCTCAATCTATTGCACGCATTACCGTGAGATGGGTCACACCATAGAAATGTCCACACAACTGTTTAAACATTGGTGAGATGTGGCCCACTCCTTTCTCTTGCTCCTTGACAAGGAGGTTGAAGCCATAAATATGATCACCCCGAACAGATAGCTGAGGAATTAGTCCTAGAAGGGTGGCTTTGGGGCATTTAACCTTTAGGACATGTTCCCAGGAAAAGTATGGTTCTCAAGGGAGGGTTTGCACCTGATTGTCTGGAGCACTGACCTTCTGCAACTGAGACTACAAAAACAGATAAAGGAAAACATCAATCTAGGTTGGAAAGGATGTGTTGTGACTGGGAGAGACACATGCTGTCTCCACAATTGGTGTTAGTAAGTAACGGGAGAAAAACAATGTTAATGAGGCTGTTTTCAGGAATATTCTCTATGCTAAAAAATAAGGTAGTGTACAGCAGGGTGGGAAAAAAAAGTACTTCCGTGGATGGAAGAATTGATGAAGTTGGCTCTATTTAATTGATTTAGGAAACATTGTGAATTCAGAAGGAAACAATAAAGTTGTTTGTGGACTATTGCAGGAAATGAGTAATGAGGTGGAAGAATTGGAACTATCAAAGCAAGATGTGAAACCTCTTGTACATAGCGGGGGAAACATGATAGAATAGCTCTCAAAATGGAAGAGGGTTTGAAAAGAGCATTTGATGAGGTTATATACTGGGTTATAGAGGCCTAAAGAATTTAACTTGAATGTGGATGGACACATTTTTAATATTATTAGTGAAAGAAATACTACTTCAAACTGCTTGATCATGTAAACATTTGAAATTTGGGAGAGTGGGGGGAAAAGGATATTATATTGGCAGAAAATAACTAGTTTTAGTCCTGACAGTAATTCACTACTTCCTCAAACAGTCAATGCACAGACAAGGGGTGCATACATAAAGAATTACAAAGTATCTGGTGATAGGAAATAACCTTGTATTGAAAGCTTGAGAGTGATTGGATTATCTTCATATACAAAGAGCAGCAAGAGGAGATATTTAAGCTGAAAATATATTAATTCAAAGACAAATGGGTATACAATACAATAGACTAGATTTGGAAAGGGAATTATAGACAAACTCCTCATCAAATGATTGAATTTCTTAAATAGTTGGAATATTGTAGACAAAAAGCAGAAGTAGTGCTAAAATAGACCCTGTGAAAGAAACAGCAATGATGGTCAGGTCTTGGGTGTGTTGAAGTCTTACATCCCATGTTGCTCCTGATCCTAATATGCATCATCTTAGGAGTCTAAGCATGCTTGAAGTACATTTAAGTGGCATCCTTCAATGTAAAATGAAAGTAGTAAATCAATTCTTAGCCACTTGTTAATTCTTCCAAGTAAGAGTTTCTATGATTATGACTGAAGCACTGAAAATCATTTACTTAATGGACTAAGCCATTTTTTTTTGCCAAGCTACTAATGAATTTCACTGCAAGCAAAAGGAATTGAATATATCCTGCCAATTCACTAATGGAATATAATTATTATCTGTGTATTAATAACAGAGATTAGAGTGCTGCAGTTACTTAGCAGTTACTGTTACTTAGCAGTTCACATCCATCAAAGCATTGGATACAATTTTCAAAAAGACTTAAAGAGAAAAATGCACCCAAAAATTATGGATGACTGGGGCCATGCCTTTCAAGGAATGGGGCAGCTGCAGTTACCTGATTTCTTGTGATTTCAGCATGATTAGGTAAGACACAGGTTATCTTTGATGATATTTTGACAACAGAGATGTCCACTTTACATTAGCTATGCCAATAACCTCTTCAGAACCACAACTGTGAAAGGCTTGTCCTTCTTTGAGGTTGTGCAGAAGCACAGCCATGTGAGAGAAATGAAATGGTGCCTGCTGCCAACCAGCCTCTAGGTCTTGCTCCATCCTTTGGTGCCTGCATTGTTCTGGTCTGTGGTCAAGCACAGTGATTAATTCTGTCTCAGCACCATGATGGGACTTAGCAGTTCACATCCATCAAAGCATTGGGTACAATTTTCAGAAAGACTTAAAGGGTCTTAAAGAAATGGTGCCTGCATTGTTCTGGTCTATGGTCACACATAGTGATTAAGTCTGTCTTCAGCACCATGATGGCTTGTCTGGGTATGAACTTGCATATAGCCTACATACCGATAGTTAGTCAATAACAGAAGAGAGTCGTCTTTAAAACATCATGTCATCCCATAGAATCACAAAAAAATCCAGTGAAGTTCTGCTGTGTTCAATTGCATGCTATACTGAAAAGTTCCACAAGCTATCCTTTCAACAAATGAAATGGTGCCTGCTGCCAACCAGCCTCTAGGTCTTGCTCCATCCTTTGGTGCCTGCATTGTTCTGGTCTGTGGTCAAGCACAGTGATTAATTCTGTCTCAGCACCATGATGGGTTGTCTGGGTATGAACTTGCATATAGCCTACATACTGACAGTTAGTCAATAACAGAAGAGAGCCATCTTTAAAAGATCGTATCATCCCATAGAATCACAAAAAAAAACCCCAGTGAAGTTCTGCTGTGTTCAATTGCATGCTATACTGACCAGTTCCACGAGCTATCCTTTCAAAAAATGTTAAGCTTTTCTTTCTTTCTGTCCTATATACAAGCACCTTTGAAATCCAGTGTCTTAATTTGTCTTCCTCCACAATGAGTTTGTCCGACTGCAGTAATGATCAACAGCCGCTATTGTCATTGCACACAGTGCAAGTCTAGTTGCTCAGCATGTCAAGTTCTGCTGTGTTCAATTGCATGCTATACTGACCAGTTCCACGAGCTATCCTTTCAAAAAATGTTAAGCTTTTCTTTCTTTCTGTCCTATATACAAGCACCTTTGAAATCCAGTGTCTTAATTTGTCTTCCTCCACAATGAGTTTGTCCGACTGCAGTAATGATCAACAGCCGCTATTGTCATTGCACACAGTGCAAGTCTAGTTGCTCAGCATGTCAGAAGAATATAAGTAGCTAACAATAAAAAGGATTTCTAGCCTCTACAGTTTGTTTCTTAC